GAGCTCAGCCTCCCCTGTGATTGCGCAACCCCTCAGTAACTGTATGGAGCGTGGGCAATAAGCGCGTGCCTGTTACTATCTCAGTATGTCACCAATGTCATGTTTGTAGACCCCTTCATTTCATGTCCTCGCCTTCCATAATCCAGGTTACTTATTTCACGCGTGTGTATAAAGATATTTAGGCTCGCTGGTCTCGTCATGAAACTGCAATGAAAACGCACCAGGGGAGGCAGCTACCACATCTGCCTCACTGAGGGGGGCGTTAGACAGTGAGGACACGCCTCCCTCAGTGAAGCCACGCCCCCCGTGAGGCCACGCCCCCGTGAGGCCACGCCCCCCAGCCAATGACCTCACCGCACGTTACTGTGGCACAGGCACCGTGGTGACGTCACCGCCGCTGAGTGGCAGAACGGCGATTGATGTCGAGTGGAGTTTGTGAAGTTCGCTCTCCCTCTGTCCTTCGTGGGGTTTTTTTTGTTGTTGCTCCGGCTTCTCGAGTTTCCTGCCATTGCTAAACCTACACACCCGGTAGAACTGGTACTGGCCAAATCATTTCCGTGCTGAACAAACAAAAAAAGCTACCTGCGAATCACGCAATTGAGATAACGCAGCAGCAGCAGCATCACTCCGCGACAGCGAACACGTGGCAGGACTCTCCTTACACACGAGGCTTGAGACTCCAGCGAACGTTACTAAAGTTATCAGCGACAAGGGCTGTTGGGTTATCTCAGTACACATGCCAACCTTGGCCCATCCCAGTAAACATGCCAACGTTGGCCCATCCCAGTAAACATGCCAATAATGTTGGGCCACTCCCAGTAAACATGCCAATAACGTTGGGCCACTCCCAGTAAACATGCCAATAATGTTGGACCACTCCCAGTAAACATGCCAATAACGTTGGGCCACTCCCAGTAAACATGCCAATAACGTTGGGCCACTCCCAGTAAACATGCCAATAACGTTGGGCCACTCCCAGTAAACATGCCAATAACGTTGGGCCACTCCCAGTAAACATGCCAATAACGTTGGGCCACGCCCAGTAAACATGCCAATAATGTTGGGCCACTCCCAGTAAACATGCCAATAACGTTGGGCCACTCCCAGTAAACATGCCAATAACGTTGGGCCACTCCCAGTAAACATGCCAATAACGTTGGGCCACTCCCAGTAAACATGCCAATAACGTTGGGTCACTCCCAGTAAACATGCCAATAACGTTGGGCCGCTCCCAGTAAACATGCCAATAATGTTGGGTCACTGGGATGATTTCCGGCCACGCTCAAAGTTGACGCACACACAGACAACACGTGCCAACCCACGTGGTGCCCCTCCTGTCTGACGCATCCACTAAGCCAGACTCGGAACGTGTCGCAGTCAACCCGGCGATCCGGGTTCGATTCCCAGGGCCAACAGCCGTGACGATTTCTCAGAACCGGACCTGGGCCTCCCCTAGGTCGGCTCAGCCTGAAATGAGTACCTGGTGCGGTGTGTAAACATCGTCACTGAGGAAACAAAGAGGCCGTCCATAAATGACGTCACGCACGTAGGGGGCGGGGGTCAGACATTTGTGACGATGTGACGAGGGGGGGGTGAGTTTGAGAAATATGACGTCACATCAAAATGCGCAACTTTAAATAAATATAGAATTGTAATAACCACACTAATTGTTATAACAGGGCCACATTAAATACGCACTACAATGACAATAGTTTAAAGCGATTTGAAGCATGTTTTATTTTCAAAATGGAAATATGGTTTTCGGGGGGGGGAGGGCAGAGCTTTGTGACGTCATATTTGAGGGGAGGGGGGGTCTGACTTTTTGTGACGCCGTGTGACGAGAGAGGGGGGGGGGATCAAAAATCATCCCAAATCGCGTGACGTCATTTATGGGCGGCCCCAAAGACAGCCGGGCGTGGTGCTGGCCACCCACACCTCCTCGGTGTGCCGTTCCCGCTTTCATTGGCGCTGCTCGATTGATTCACAGCCCTTGTCCCCGACAGTCCGTTAAAAAGCCACACGGGGGATCTTTGTTTTGCCTTTGTGTGGGTGCACCTAGCTTGGCACAAGCGCCTTTGTGACGTCGGCTCGGTGACGTAGCTGTCGTAGTGCGTGTGGGGAGCGGTGGCGCAGTGGTTAGTGGCCACTTAGCGTCACGAATGCCGGCAGCATCGTCAGTGGGGGGGGGGGGGGGGAGTGATTTTGTGAATGTGAACCTCTCCTGGTCCTCCGCCTTGGGTCGACTCAGCCTTGAGCGATTTCAGTGGCCGGTGCGGTGGTGTGTTGTTGATGTCTCCCACGTGTCGGCCTTAATAGGTGCTCGCTAACAGCACACTTGCAAGGCTACACGGGGGACCTTTGTCTGTGGTCGTGCACGCTGCACTACGAACCCCGGGCTCGCATCAGCGGCGGGTGGTTATCTGAACCGCCGCTCGCCCAAACTCGCGTTGACCAGCGTGGTGAAGTATGGTCAATCATCCCCCCCGTGACTCTCAGGGCGTTGGGAAGGCTTTTCATCCAGCAGTGGAAGCGTCAATTGCAGAGATGTATCGATTAATAATCGTCAGCTGTGGCGTATCCACAGCTGGATGAAGACGTTCCCACCGCCATCCTATTAAGGCGATCACCACGCTCGTGACTCAATCCACATGCGTCGAGTCGTTTGTGCCTGAATCGAACGTTTACGATTAATCCCTGTGCGATTATGGAGTACATTACTCGCCATTCAAGGGCCAATGGCAGTTGATTCCTGAATCTAAACGCAATTCCAAATCGCGAAGCTTCACTTGAGAATGTGCTGATTCATCACATCATCCACGATTCTATTAAAGTGTATCGATCCAGAGCTTCAACGCGAATAAAAAATCCATTCCTTTCCTTGCGTTCGCTTTCGATGTTAGTAATCACTGTGATTCAATTACACGCAATGCTCAACGTACTAAACAAATTAAATGAATTTAATTGCTGGTTATATTCCGTTAACTATACATGGATCGTTATGGGAGTCGATACATCGGCGATGAATCGGTAAATCGACACGCCCTTTAATGAATCACGTTGTCCCTTTAAATACAGGAATGTCCCTTTTGGTCACGTGCCCCGCCGGGGGTGGGGGGGGGGTGACGAGAGGGGTGGGGGTGGGGGCAAGGGGGGAGATTGTGCAATCGTACGGCCTCTTTGATTGGCTGACGCGTCGCGTCTCGCGCTTACCTTGACCAATGGGAAGCGTTCGCATCGCTAGGCCCCCCCCCCTATTCCCCACCCGGTGTGCGCATGCGCAGTAGGGGCGGGTTTTCCGTGTTGTTTGATTTCCCGGCGTGCAGCGGGGAGGAGAGCCGAGAGAGACAGCAGCTGGGAGAAGACACAGAGACTCACAGAGACTTAGAGAGACACAGAGAGAGACACAGAGACTCAGAGAGAGAGACAGAGAGAGACAGAGACACAGAGAGAGACAGAGACACAGAGAGAGACAGAGAGAGACACACAGAGACAGAGAGAGACAGACACACACAGAGACACACACAGAGACACACACAGAGACACAGAAAGACACACAAACAGAGACAGAGAGACAGCAGCTGGGAGAGAGACACAGAGACAGACACAGACAGACACAGAGACAAAGACGCAAAGAGAGAGACAGCAGCTGTGAGATAAACAGAGACAGACACAGAGACAGAGAGAGAGTAGCTGGAAGAGAGAAACAGAGAGACATCAGCTGTGAGATAGAGAGAGAGACAGAGACACGCACACAGAGACACACACACAGACACAGAGAGACACACAGAGACAGAGAGAAACAGAGAGACATCAGCTGTGAGATACAGAGAGAGACAAGGGAGAGAGAGCATCTGAGAGAGACAGGAAGAGGAGGGAGAGAGAGAGAGCGGGGAGAGGCAGCTGATACAAAAGCGAGAGCGGGGAGAGAGACACGGAGAGAGAGAGAGAGGGCGAGACAGCGACTACAGCAGATAAGAGTGGGGAGAGAGATAAACAGAGATTGGAGACAGCTGCTACAGCAGAGAGACACAGCTACAGCAGAGAGACACAGCTACAGCAGAGAGACACAGCTACAGCAGAGAGACACAGCTACAACACCCATAGTGGAGAGAAGGGGGGAGGGGTGGTTAGAGAGACAGCTGCTACAGCAGAGAGACACAGCTGCAACAGCAGAGAGACACAGCTACAGCAGAGAGACACAGCTACAGCAGAGACACAGCTACAGCAGAGAGACACAGCTACAGTAGAGAGACAGAGCTACAGCAGAGAGACACAGCTACAGCAGAGACAGCTACAGCAGAGAGACACAGCTACAGCAGAGAGAGACAGCTACAGTAGAGACACAGCTACAGCAGAGAGACACAGCAGCAACAGGAGGGCACAGCAAGGGGGACTTGGGGACAGCAGCGACCACGAGGAGAGAGACAAAGGAGACGACAGCTGACACGGGGGACAGCAGCAGGAGACAGCGTTGAGTGGTAGCGCCACATCACCCTCACCACCACCCTCACCACCACCACAACCCTCACCACCACCCTCACCACCACCACAACCCTCACCACCACCACAACCCTCACCACCACCACCACCACAACCCTCACCACCACCCTCACCACCACCACAACCCTCACCACCACCCTCACCACCACCACAACCCTCACCACCACCACAACCCTCACCACCACCACCCTCACCCTCACCACCACCCTCACCACCACCACCACAACCCTCACCACCACCACAACCCTCACCACCACCACAACCCTCACCACCACCCTCACCACCACCACAACCCTCACTACCACCACCACCCTCACCACCACAACCCTCGCCAACACAACCCTCACCACCACCACAACCCTCACTACCACCACCACCCTCACCACCACCACAACCCTCACCACCACCACCACCCTCACCACCACCACAACCCTCACTACCACCACCACCCTCACCACCACCACCCTCACCACCACCACCCTCACCACCGCCCTCACCACCACCACAACCCTCGCCACCACAACCCTCACCACCACCACCCTCACCACCACCACCACCCTCACCACCACCATCACCGCCAAGCTCTGGAGCGGAGGAGGAGGCTGCGAGTGGAAGATGGCGAGGTGGTTCAGAGAGCGGTTCGGGTTCGTGCTGGGAAGCAGGAAGAGCGACTGCCGTCAGCCCAAACCCGAACAACATCACCAGCAGCAGCAGAATAATCATCAGCAGCAGCAGCATCAGTCTGATCTACAGGGCGATTCTTCTGGTGGCAGCGTCCGAGTGCACGTGGCCAGCATTAAAAAGCCACCGCAGATTCAACAGCAACAACAACAGCAGACGCAGCACCAGCAACAACAACAGCAGAAGCAACAACAGCAACAGCAGCACTGCGTCGAACTTAGCACGGACCGGAGCGTGCAACCACCGCATTTGCCGACATCAAACAACGCCACCAACAACACCACCACCTCCTCCTTCTCGTCTGCGGCACCACCACCACCACAACAACAACAACCACCACCACCATCAACAGCAGCAGCAGCAGCGGCGGCGGCGTCGTCATCGTCATCCTCGTCGTCATCCTCCCCTAGTGTAGACCACCACCACCACCATCAACATCATCAGCATCATCAACAACATCAGTCGTTCTACCCTCCTCCTGGAGCCTCGGCACTTGAGCGTCTGAAGGCTGTGTGTGACAGCGAAGAGCAAGATGATGATGGTGGTGGAGGTGGTGTTGGTGGTGGTGGTGGAGGTGGTGGTGGTGTTGGTGGAGGTGGTGGTGGTATCGAGGGGGGCAAGTGTCCCCAGCCAGCTGAGGCCAAGTACCTGAGTCCCAGGCAGAGGCTGATTAAGGTGGAAGTCACCGAGAAGGCGAATTCCGCTGTGGGACCCAGGGATGGAGGTGGTGGAGGTGGTGGTGGAGGTGTGGGCAAAGCAGCGACGGACGAGCAGGGCAAGGGTGGAGGAGCTGTTGGAGTCAAGGGAGACAAGGTAACATCATCATCATGGTGACATCATTATCATCATGGTAACATCATCATGGTAACATCATCATGGTAACATTATCAGAGTAACATCATCATCATAGTAACATCATTATAGTAACATCATCATTATAGTAACATCATCATCATCATCATAGTAACATCATCATATTATTTTATTATCATTCTACGTGACTTTACCGAAAGAACCAAAGATGAATCATTGCAGTCACGAAAGCTTTAAATCGAAACATCATCATAGTAACATCATCATCATAGTAACAATATCATCATAGATCCATCATCAACCGCGTTGTAATCGAGGTAACAACACCCGCCACCAGTTGTAAGGTCGTCAACATTCTGAATCTTTGTACCATCCATAATCGAGGTTTTATTTGGGGTTAGATCGCGTAAATATATATATTTTTTAAATGTGTGTGTCGTAAAACCCCGCCACCACCCGACACACCCAAATTAGCAAGGGGGGGTGGGGGGTTGTTGTTGTCACGTAAACAGAACGTTGCCAATTCGTCACTAGTCCAGCACGAACACGTTCGTTGTTGGAGAGCAAAGCCACAAATATTTAACGATCCGAGTTCCGACGTTTCGAGATTTGTGGAGGGATACCCCTCCTGCGTCGTTCTTAAAACGTGTGGTGTGCCCCACGCGGACATTGCATAACTTAATCGTTCTAATTCATCACAGTAACCGTGATCACAATCAGCAGCACGATTGCATTTATAGTTTTACATCTGGGGCGGCCTGTCAGACGTGGTGGAACAACATCACACAGACTTACGATGGCATGGACTCTTAATAGCTGTCAACCCATACGGTTTAGTTGGTATTCTTGTACAGAATACGAGCACTGATGATTGGGTTGACCGGTGTGTAGTGGTGAGTGTACTAGTGGTGAGTGTACTAGTGGTGAGTGTACTAGTGGTGAGTGTACTAGTGGTGAGTGTACTAGTGAGTGTAGTGGTGAGTGTACTAGTGGTGAGTGTAGTGGTGGTGTGTGTACTAGTGGTGTGTGTAGTGAGTACTAGTGGTGAGTGTAGTGGTGGTGTGTGTACTAGTGGTGTGTGTAGTGAGTACTAGTGGTGAGTGTAGTGGTGAGTGTACTAGTGGTGTGGTGAGTGTAGTGGTGAGTGTACTAGTGGTGAGTGTAGTAGTGGTGAGTGTACTAGTGGTGAGTGTAGTAGTGGTGAGTGTACTAGTGGCGATTGTCTGTGTTTCTCCCTTGTGATGGTGACTTTGTAGGATGAACGTTGAGATTTTTAAGTGGCACTGGGTGACCATATAGGTCTGAATGGGTCTGTAATAAGGTAGGCCACTGATAAGGGATTGGCAGCTATGGGACTTATTATGCTATTAGAATCAGCATGAGCAGCATCGCCATAACAAGCGTCATCATTTTCATCAGCGTAATAATCACAAATCAGAATAAATACCTTCAGTCGCATCGCTTGCCGGACAAAGTTGTATTCGTGACTTTGACTAAGCGAGAGAGTGATTGAATCATCATCAACATCATCATCAGCAGCAGCAGGAGCATCAAGTTTAGTCATCATCAGAATTCATTATTGTCAGTAGTGTCATCATCATCATCACCACTACCACGCGTTTGTCAAGAGGCGGTAAGCAAGAACGATGAGTGACTTCTATGAGCTTCTAGTCAAGGTGATAATTCACTTTGTAACACGATTTTTGTACCTGGGTAGTAAGTGTTACTTTATAATTGTTTATGCCTCATAAGTATAGAAAATGGCTATTATTATTCCCCACAAACTTTGCTTTTGTGACCAGGACTTTATGTGAAGGAATGACTCAAATGCACACCACGTGTTCTCATTGACAATAGTCTCTGTGTGAGTGTATGGGTCTCTGTGTGCGTCTATGGGTCTCTGTGTGAGTCTATTGATCTCTAAGTCTATGGGTCTCTGTGAGTCTATGGGTCTCTGTGAGTCTATGGGTCTCTGTGTGAGTCTATGGGTCTCTATGTGAGTCTATGGGTCTCTATGTGAGTCCATGGGTCTCTGTTTGAGTCCATGGGTCTGTGTGTCAGTCTATGGGTTTGCACCCACAACTTGCTTCTATGCTTCGGCTAGGTCGACTCAGCCCTTGAATGAGTACCTGGTGTGGTGTGTAATAATAACATCGGCATTGGGGAGACAAAGGCGGCCGGGCACTTGACCCTGGCCAGCCCGTGTAAGCTACGCAGGGCACATTCATGTGGGACCTTTTCTGTGCCAGCATCCAAAATGATGATACATAAGAACATTTCGTTTGACCCTTTCTGGCAATGAAACAGGAGGCGTTTAGTTGTTCACACACCAAATAGAGACCTTTTACAAGGCGTCAAAAGTTTATTTGCACGTTCTGCAACAAGTACGGCTAATGGCCAATGCAGACTTTATGCCTTGTAAAAGGTCCCTATTTGGTGTGTGAACAACTAAACGCCTCCTGTTTCATTGCCAGAAAGGGTCAAACGAAACGTTCTTATTTATAATTTTGTATGCTGGCACAGCAAAGGTCCCACATGAATGTGCCCTGCGTAGCTTACACGGGCTGGTCAGGGTCAAGTGCCCGGCCGCCTTTGTCTCCCCAATGCCGATGTTATTTTTACACACCACACCAGGTACTCATTCAAGGGCTGAGTCGACCTAGCCGAAGCATAGAAGCAGGTTGTGGGTGCAAACCCATAGACTGACACACACAGACCCATGGACTCAAACAGAGACCCATGGACTCAAACAGAGACCCATGGACTCACATAGAGACCCATGGACTCACATAGAGACCCATAGACTCACATAGAGACCCATAGACTCACACGCAGACCCATAGACTCACACAGAGACCCATAGACTCACACAGAGACCCATAGACGCACACAGAGAACCATAGACTCACACAGAGACCCATAGACTCGCACAGAGACCCATAGACTCACAGAGAAACCCATAGACACACACAGAGACTCATAGACGCACACAGACCCATAGACTCGCACAGAGACCCATAGACTCGCACAGAGACCCACAGATACATAACCATATACTCACAGCCCATTATACTCACATTGAGACTCATACAGAGCCCCATAGACTCACATAGAGACCCATAGACTCACAGAGAGACCCATAGACTCACAGAGAGACCCATAGACTCACAAAGAGACCCATAGACTCACAGAGAGACCCATAGACTCACAGAGAGACCCATAGACTCACAGAGAGACCCATAGACTCACAGAGAGACCCATAGACTCACAGAGAGACCCATAGACTCACAGAGAGACCCATAGACACACACAGAGACCCATAGACTCACAGACAATTATACTCACATTGAGACTCATACAGAGCCCCATAGACTCGCATAGAGCCACACTGACTCGCATAGGGACCCACTGACTTATGGGGACCCATACTCGCATTCCCTACACTCACAGATATCCATATACTCAGACAAGACACCCATAGCCTCACCATTCAGGAGACCCATTGGCTAATACAGAGACCCATAGACTTGCAGAGAGACCCATGGACTCACAGAGACCCATGGACTCACAGAGACCCATGGACTCATAGAGACTCAAATACTCAGAGACCCAATGACTCAGAGACCCGTGGAGAGAGACCCATAAACTTACAGAAAGACCTATGGACTCACAGAGAGACCTATGAACTCACAGAGAGACCCATGGACTCACAGAGAGACCCATAGACTCTCACAGAGACCCATGGACTCACAGAGAGACCCAACGACTGACACAGACCCATAGACTCATACAGAGACCCATAGACTGACACAGACCCATAGACTCACACAGAGACACATAGACTCACACAGATACCCATAGACTCACAGAGAGACCAATACACTGACACACAGACCCATAGACTCATACAGAGACCCGTAGACTCACAGAGAGACCCATAGACTCACAGAGAGACCCATAGACTGACACACAGACCCATAGACTGACACACAGACCCATAGACTGACACACAGACCCATAGACTCACAGAGAGACCCATAGACTCACACAGAGACCCATAGACTCACACAGAGACCCATAGACCTACAGAGAGACCCATAGACTGACACACAGACCCATGGACTCACAGAGACCCATAGACCCACAGAGAGACTCACACAGAGACCCATAGACTCACAGAGAGACCATAGACTCACAGAGAGACCCATAGACTCACAGAGAGAACCATGGACTCAGAGAGACCCATAGACTCACACATAGACCCATAGACTCACAGAGAGATCCATTATTGCCAAAACGGGAAACCCCCTCCCCCCCCCCATAATTATTACACAGGGCATCTTTGTCTGTGTGTGTGTTTTATCAGAACTGGGGCCTTACCTGGGTTTATCCGGAGTTTGTCCCCCCCCCCCCCCCCCCCCCCCCCCCGTGGTAAACGTGGATTTTTCTGCGGGTCATCCGTTTTTTTTTCTCCACGTTTAGAATCGACGTCACGCGTTCCGAGTATTTGGCTGTTCACTCTTTGGTTCTTTCGGTAAAGCCACGTCCTTAGAAATGAAACAAATCACGACGTTTCGATCGCAACACAAACAACCTTCATCAGGCGGAAACAACCACAGCAAGAACACATTGCTGAAGTTGGCTGCTGCTATCAATTCCCACGTGGTGACGACGGTGATGATGATTATGATGAGCCCACTTCGTTGGACTATCATTTGTGATGGTCCCAGTTTGCTTCTGATAAAGAGCCATACTACATAGCAACTCAGTGGGGTGTCTTACCTGGTAAAAAAATATATATATAGTGAATGGCCCACGTGGGGTTATGGGTGTGTGTGCGCGCGTGTGCATGCGTGCCCGAATATTTTTGTGGAACCGTAACCGGGTCTCCGGATGAACGCGACTTTTTACTTTCGTTGCGAAATCACCCCGTCCACCCTTCCTCTCCCTTGAGTGTTGTTCCACGTCGACGAACAGCGGTTGATTTAACGCCTTCCAGC